CCCTAAACCCTGCCAGGTACCGCTCCATCATCGACAACATCCGCCGCTACATGCCCGACGCATCCATCAGCGGTGACGTCATTGTGGGCTTCCCCGGTGAGCCGCGCTGCAGGCCTCTGCACCTTGGGGCTGCGCAGCTGTACATAATAGCATGAAACCGCAGGGTGGACAGGGCACTCTTTACTGCGTTTTTTGGCAGAGCAGCAAGCTCCTTGCTTTGTTTGCCTGCAATTGTACATGCATACATGGCACAATGGCCTGAGCAATAAAGCCAAGCCAAGCCGACACCCCATTGTGACCCGACCTTGTACCGGCCCCCCTCCACCTGCAGGCGAGACCGAGGAGCAGTACCAGCGCACAGAGGACCTGGTGCGCGCCATCGGCTTTGACCGGGTCAACACCGCCGCCTACAGCCCGCGCCCCAACACGCCGGCGGCGGAGTGGGAGGACCAGGTGGGGCGCCAAGCAGTGCCATGTCCACGCTTCATCCGCACTGGCCTGAATGCAGAGGCCGTGCGATTGATCTGGACCAATTTGCTCCAATAGATGCAGTCGCACTGGGGCTGCGGCCTGCAAGCGACGCTTTGCTTGAGATTTGTGATCATGCCATGGCTTGTGCCATGTGCGCGTGCATGTAGCCACGCCGCTCCCACTTGCCCCACGCTGCAATATTGTTCATCACTCTCTCATGTCATGCACCGCAGGTGGCCGACTTGATCAAGAGTGACAGGCTCAACCGCCTCAACGCGGTGGTCATGGAGGTGCGGCGTTGTCAGAGCAGTGCTTGCAGGCGGTTGGGTGCGGGAGGATCAGGCGTGCCCGCGCTGCGCTGCGCTGAGGCCGTCAGATGTCAGGGGCGCGGCCGCTCAGCCGCCAGCCGCAGGCGCGCGCTCCCCCTTGCTGTGGCGAATACGCGCGCCTGCCGCAGCCGCTGGCGCCTCGCACCAAGGCGGCGAGGCCCCCAGCCGCAGCCCCTTGTTCCACCCCTCATCTGATGCGCAAGCCATGCGTTCCGCGCCTGCGCTTCCACGCACCAGGTCGCCACAGAGCGCGCCCAGCGCTTCATGGGCCGCGACCTGGAGGTGCTGGTGGAGGGCGTCAACCCCCGCAACCCCAACCAGGCCTTTGGCCGCATCCGCCACAACAAGCTCGCCTATTTTGACGGCGATGGTGAGGCGCTGAGGGGCCGCCTGGTGTCAGTGCGCATCGAGCAGGCCAACGCCTACTCGCTCTACGGCAGGATCGTGGGGGACGTCGCGCCGCGGGATCCCCTCAGGTTTGGGACGGCGGCGGAGCAGCAGCAGCAGCAGGGGCAGCAGCAGGGGCAGCAGCAGCAGTTGGTCGGCGCGGCGTGATCGGCGGAGGTTGGGCGGTTGCTGTGAGGGGTTGGGCTGGAGGAGGGCTGCAATCAGAGGGCAGCTGGGCGCACCACATATTGTGAGGGTGCGGTTTCAGGTTGCCAGGGCAGCCGGCTTGGCCGCTGAAAGATGTGGCCCGCACGAGACGGCAGGGCGGCGGCGATGCAGCCGGACACCGGCAAGCCCTTGTCATGCGCTCTTGTTGGCGGCTGTCTTGCTTTGATTTCGCTTGTTGCATCAGCAAGTAACTTGACATCTGGTTGTTGGGACTGCGTTTGGCGCTGGCCTTTTTATCAGCCAAGGGGTGCCGGCTCGCACAGGGCGAGGCGAGGGCACGGGCCAAGCGTCACTTGGGGGTCACCCGGCGGTTCCACTGGGCGGGAGACCAGCGGGCGATTCCATGGAGGCCACCTACTTAGAGGCAGTTGCAGCACGTGTGGCAGATGATGCTTGTGTGGAAATATCCCAGGGTCTAAAACCATTACAGGGTTTCAACACCAAATTAGCGAGCCGTACACAACGGGGCACCAGCACAACACCCACCTGCACCTAGAAATGGCGTTTGCTGTGGCTATAGCGGCATCCGCCACGATTTTTACACACTTGAAGGTGATTCATATGTCCTTGCGTTCCGGACGCTCAGATAGCAGCGTGCGAGTATGACTTTCCCGCCCGGAGGTGGTTGACGGGCTTCGGGGCCACCCCCTCACCCCTGCAGGCTGCGAGGCAGCACAGAAAGGATGAAGAGGTATCAAAGCAGCTCGCAGAGGCACTTCAGGTGTGTGTTTGTCATCGTTTGCGGGCCCCTTCACACACCCTGGCCATGCAGGGGCAGTCGATGCAACCACGGCACTTCTCACTGTGAGAGCCCTGGCTGTCCTATGACCCCAGCCAGCCATCATGGCAGCCAATACCGCATGCTGCCGCACATGGTGCGCCATTTCCCACGATTTTTTGCCCGCGCTTCACGCGGCTCGCATCGCAGGCCGCCGCGGCCGCAGCGGCCGGCCTTGCGCGCGTTCGTGAGGAGCTCGCCGTGTACGCTGTGCGCATGGACGAGCTCGGCGCCGACGGCCTGGCTGCTGCAGCCCGCATGGACGACCTCCAGGACCAGGTGGCGCTGAGCGCCAGGGCCGCCGCAGCCGCCACCGCCGCAGCCGCAGCCGCCGCGGCGGTCAAAGCGGTGGCTGCCTGCAGCAGGTCGACCAGCATGGGGTCTGATGCAGAGGAGCTGTGTGCCGAAAGCGTCGGAGCCGGGGATGCAGACTGCGATGGAGGCGCGGCCCAGCCACAAGCGCGCGTGGCAGACTCGGCCGCGTCTGCTTACCAAGCGCCGTCGACGTCTGAGGCGGCGTCAGCCGTGGGCAGCGTGCCGGCGCGCATCCACGGGCCGCGATGCGGCGCCAGTGGCAAGATTGCGCGGATGCTGTCAAAGCTGCGTCAGCCGCTGCTCGTTTGATTGATGGGCGTGTGGGTCCAAACTTGAGGATCTTTGCAGCCTTTGGGAGTTGCGCTATGTATTCACTCTGGGCAGTAAAATCAAGCTTGCCCCAGATTTGATGCTGGCCATGCTTGTTTGTTATTGACTGTTGTGATTCCGGTATACATATAAGAACGCTGCGGTGGCTGCGCTTGTGCAGTGTAAGAATTTCATGGATGGAACTTTGCCCACTTCCATACGGTTGTGCACGCCGCCGTATTCATGTTTCTTGGTCAGACAACACCCAAACGATCTGATGCGTTGCCTCCAAAAGTCTGCAGCCAGTTAGGCCAAACATTTGGAAGGGTCTGAGATTCAGTGCATGCATGCATACGATACAAATTGCCTGTTATTACCCTCGTGCACATGCGACGCATGCACGAATAGTGCCCTTATTCACCAACCAAGCATGCCAAAGCCCAAGTTGTTGCCACGCAGATGTGTGCCACCGCATGGCGCCACCAGCCAGCGCATTCAACCGCCCTCTCCATGCCAGCGTGATACCGAGCAAGGTCGAGGGTTGTGCTGCTACGCGGACTCGCAACCTGTGTCACAAGAATCGATTGCCATGCTGCCTCCTGGCCAGACTGACGTCCAATTGACAGGCGGTGGTGCGGATGGCCCGCCGCTCCAGTCGCGAAGTTGCATGATCCATTGATGGGCGAGTGACCACCTGGGCACCCATGCTCACTTTGGCCCCGCAACAGCGTGCACGTGCGCGCCTGCAAAAGGGGTCTCGTGTGCGTGCGTCCGCGTCAGGCGCGTGCAAGGGTGTATGCGTGCGTTTTTGTGTATGTGTGCGTGGTTGCGCTGCCCTGATGAGCTAAGTGCGCATGCAGACGCGGGCGCGGGCACGCGCCAGGCATGTGATGCAATGTGGCATTTTATGCAGTCGGTGGAGGCGAGTGGCGGTCGACGGAATTGAAATGGAACCTCGTTGATCAGCCAAAAGCGTCCCCAACTTTCAGCTCGCAGCAGACTGGCGTGCTCCAGTGTGTGACGATGTGGTAGGTCTGCCTGAGTGTGCTTCAAAACGCGCCAGGCCGCACCAACAGTGGTGAATACAGGCCTTGTAGTGCCGGTCATCGCCGCTCAGCAGCCGGTGTAATCAGTATGGGCGAGGTCTTTGATAAAGCTGCGGCGCAGACAGCAAGCAAGCTACCATGCCCACACACATCAGTGGCAAAAGCTACAGCACGGGTGCTGCATCCACCGCTCGCAACAGCGGGTGGGGGAAACTATTGAAATGGAGCGAAGAGAAGCGCAGTGGTGTGCCTCAAGGTAAGGGAACGGTGGTGAGAAGCAGGTACAGGAAGGAGGATGACGAGCGGACAGCGCGGGGACGCGCTACTGTGCCGGCAGCTGGAGCAAACGGTGCCTGTGACGGGCGCATCTCACCCTGTGTCACGTCGAGTCGCATGTTGCGGGCAAATGCAGGGTGCATCTCAATCAATCAAGCTTGCAGGGCGCCTTGTGATCACACATACGGATGCGGTGTCAGGTTGGGTGCATCAGCTGGTGTAGGGTCACCCAGCAGGTGACTCCCCAAGTGCACGCATGGATCCCGGTGGCAGTTCAGTGCACCGTGAGTGCAGTCAATCGCTCGCGTAATTTCAGTCACATAATGCTGCATTGTCAGCCAGCTGACAATAAGGGCCCCTGGATTATGCGCACCATTTTTGTTGGCTCCTGCGGCTCTGGGGGGCACAGCAGTACGGCCAGAGGAGCTGCGCAAGCCGCAACGCAACACCAGCCGCGGCACCCATTGCTACTATTGATGCGATTAGAAACCGCATGAGGACAGGCCGCGCACGGCCATGTGAGGAGGCCTGTGAAGACGCAAAGTGAACAGGCACAAGTCCAGCAAAGACGTGAAAGGCAGGCCCGTGCCGCCAGTGAAGATCACGTGGCTCCCTTTGTTCTGAGCGTGCGAAATTGGGCTGCCAACGTGTGCCAGCAAATGTGAGGCTAGCGACCGCCATTGCGGGCCAGCAACTGCTAGGTAAGCAACTGCGCGGTGAGCTGGCCACGTCTCAAAGGTGGAAACTGTCCATCATGACCCATAACTCCTGCAGCCAGGTGGGTAGGGCATGACAAGAAGCAAGGCGCGCAGGATTTCGCACGAACACTGCGTCAAAAACCCTTGGATTGAATTGAGAGGGGCGCTGCAATCGGCGGTGCCCAGTTAAGCAAGAATGGTGTGGGGTATTCAGGGGCTGGGTGCGTGTCAACCTCGGACTCATCAAAGGAATCTGCAGCTGCTGCCGTCCCGCCAACCCCAAGGCCGCCCAGATGCGTCCTTGACGCTGTTGGCGGTCGTCGGCTTGCCCCCGCACCGCGGCGCAGCGTCCCAGGCGCCGGCCCCGCCGCTGCCGCTGCCGCTGACGTTGTCGCCGCTGCTGCCGCCACTGCCGCCACTGCTGGCGCCGTCCTTTGCAGACGATGCAGACGTCTCCGGGAAAACGCAGCTGTGAGCGCCCTCCCAGCCCCACAGGCGCCCCGAGCCGCTCCTCACGCTGTTGCTCGCCGTCGGCGCCGCGCGGCAGGCCGGCGGCGCCTGCGCGGCGCCGCCGCCGGCCCTCGCAGGCGCAGCGTCCGCCCGGAAGGCGCAGCTGGCGCCGCCCTGCCAGCCCCACAGGCGCCCCGAAGCGTCCCTGACGCTGTTGCCGGCCAGTTTGTCGTGGGAGCAGAGCGGCGCCGCATTCCAGTCTGGCTGATCGCCCCCAGACCGCTTGCCGCGGTGCTCGGGCTCGCCCTTTTGGCCGCCGGTCGGGCCCTGTGCGGTGATGGGGCGCCCGCTGTCTGGCTCCTGGAAGGCGCAGCTCCGGCCGCCCTCCCAGCCCCATAGCCGCCCTGCTCCGTCGTGTGCGTACTCCACCCCCGCTGCCGGCGCAAAGGAGCAGCGGGGCGCGTCGGCCCACCTGGGGTGGGCCGCGTCGCGCCCCTCCCAGCTGGCGCGTGCAGGGGGCGGCGAGGTCGTGGTGTGCGGCATGGCCGGGGAAGCGGTCGGTTGGGGCAGCAGGGCCGTCACAGGGTCGAGCCCCTTGACTGCAGACTGCGCCGCAGGGGCCGGGCCCCCATGTGGCGAGACCGTGACGCCGCCGACAGCGTCGCCAAACACAGCTTTGACGGCCGGCCCCAGGACGTCGTCCCTGACGCGACGCGCTGCGGCGCCGTTGCCGGTGGCGGTGTTGAGCACCTGCTGAGTCAGGCCTGGCGGGTCTGCGGGTGGTTGGAGGGGTTGTCGGATGCAGAGAGTGGGAGCGGTTTGTGTGATCGTGGTGTCAAAGGCCGGGTTTGCATGGGCAGGACAAACAAGCAACAGCAAAATACGGAGTGCAAGGGGAGGGGCGCATGTAGACGCGTGGCCATGTAGTTGCCACCAGGACGGGGCAGGAAGCTTCAGGGCCCCCCCTAAAAAACGCACGCAAGGCGCAGAGAAATGCAAGCCTCATGTTGGCAGCATGCATCACGCAGGACAAAGCAGGACACCCCATTCCACAAGCAACCTCAACCCCAGTACGGCAACGCAGCCCACCGTTTGGAACTTGCATGATCACGTGTGTCACCAGAGTCACCGCAGAAACCGGCGCCACCGGCCCCGCCGCCCGGACCCCCTCAGATTCCATGAGCCTGCGCTGCGGCGGCGGCAGCGCCGCGGCCGCGGGCGGCAGGCTCACCAACGGCAGCGGCGGCAAGGGGCCCTCCTGCTGCAGTGTGGCTGCCGCCCCCTGCTCGGCGCCTGTGCCCTCGGCGGCCATGCAGTTGACCGGGTCAACTGCAAGGTTTTCGGGGGCCAGAGAGAGCGCCGGTGAGTACGAGTTGACAACGGCTGCTTTGTAACGGGCCATGACCTGCAGTCAGAAAGGTAACAAAAATGTGGGGCAGCTATCGGCGTCAGTTGGGTTCTCAAGAGGGCGCAAAGTAGCACAGGCACCAACAAGCCAGCCGTATTGGTGGTGCGTTGCCGGCTTTGACTGCCAGGGTGCCGAGGGCCAAGGCGCGTGCGACAGAGCAAGCCGACGACGTCACCACCAATCTGTGCCAGCGTGACCTTCAGCCCTCATGCCCTCAACATGGCAAGTACAGCATCAGGCCCCCAAAGCCTGCCAGCCCCACCCTGCACCCACCTCCGCGTCAGCAAACACGCCGCCGCAGCCCCACAACGCGCCCGCGCCCGGCGGCGCCGCCAGGTTAACATCCACCACGAAAAACGCAAGCGTCGTGCCACCAGCGGCCCCGCCGGCCGGCTGCCCTTGAGAATTACCGGCGCCCGCGGCCGCAGCGCCCCGTGCCTGCGCCTGCGCCTGCGCCCTGGATAGGTGGAGGCCGACCGGGACCGCCACGGCCACAGCGACTAGTGCCGCCGCCAGCAGCAGCGCGGCACAGCAGAGTGCGCGGCGCCCAGTGAGGCAACCCCGGGCGGCGGCGCGGCCGGCCTCTCCCTTGGTGCCCGCCTCTGAATCGGCGGTGTTGGGTTGCTGTGCTGACGGAGCGCTGGCGGAGCCAGGGCTGGTTGGCGCGGATGCGCCCCCACCAGACGCCGGCGCCGGGGCCAAATGCGCGGGCGCCGCCTTAGGCGCGTGCTTGGCGGGCGGGG